GCTGGTCCGCATTCCACACTGTCCTCGTTTGTGGTAAGCTCATGGAATAAAAATTGATTGAATATCTGATATATATATATGCCATATCTCTGCACAGCTTCCCTCTATGTCATGATGACCTTGACCAATTGGTATAAGCCCAATTCGGATATCGAACTGATCAACGGCAATGAGGCTTCCATGTGGGTCAAAATCATATCCAGCTGGCTAGGCGTCTTTACCTATGGCTGGAGTCTTGTCGCACCCATTGTGCTCTCCAATCGCGACTTTAGCTAAACAGTATTACCCCCAAATATATATATATACCTAACTATACTATATATATAAATAATATCAAGTAGGCGTGGTCTATTAAGGAAGTCCGGATAATGCCAAAATTGCAAAACGGAGCGGTGCTTAAGCAGATGGGTTTAAATGCTACGATTACTCATTTTATCTTAAATCTTAATCTTCACAAATATAACAATTATAATTATCTAGTCAAAAGGTCTTTGTCGTCTATTGCTGCAGCTGCAGCTGCTTCTGTTTATCCAGGCTCTCCTGCAGACGCTGCAGCACCACATCCTTGCCCAGTATCTCCATCATTTCCGCGACGCCTGGTCCTTCCTGCAGTCCGCTCAGGGCACTGCGCAGAGTTTTCATTAGCGCGGGGAATTTTATAGACGCCGCTTTGGCAAAGCTTTTGAGGATTTCATTCAGCTGATCCTTGTGAAAGGTGGACTCGGCTTGCAGTTGCTGCAGCAGCTGTTGCCATTGTGCCGGACTCAGCTCCTTGAGCACAACTTGAGCTGGCTTGACCCACAAGAAACTCAGCTTGCTGCTGGTCAAATCCTGCAGCAGAGTCAAACGCTGCGCTGACCAATGGAGCACTGCCTCAATATGGGCTTCAGCTAGATCCAAGTGGGAGCTGTGTGGATGTGGAGAGGATTGCATAAGGAATATTTGACTGGCATTGCATGGAGAACTCACTGATCTGGATAAGCTTCTTGGACGAGCTGCTGCACATGTGCCACTAGCTGTTGCCGCTTGAGCGGATCAGCTAGACGTGCCTTCAGCTCCAGTTGATTGTAGTCATTGAGCAGCTCGGCATTTAGGCGACTGGGATGGGCATTGACGCGCTCCAAAACGAATTGCTCTGCGAGACTCTGCATGGAGTAGAGCTGAGGCTTGCTGTGGCTTCGATGCTCAAAGCCGCCGCCGGCAGAGATGATGTAGTTAATCAACGCAGTGGGAAAGTAGCCGCGATCCCTGAACTGCTTGATGCCGATGTCGCCTTGGCGCTTGCTCAGCTTGCTGCCATCCGCGTTGACCAGCAGCGGCAGATGACCAAACTGAGGTGGCTGCCAGTCGAAGGCTCTAAGGAGTAGTAGAAGGGAGCTTGATTAGAAATAGGGAGTTCTAAGGAGTTGGACTCTTACTTGTAGAGCAGTAAATGCTTCGTCGTTGAGATTTGCCATTCCACGCCGCGCAGCACATGCGTTATGCCCATCAGGTGATCGTCCACCACATTGGCCAAGTGGTACGTGGGATACAAATCGCTCTTCATGATAACAGGATCTCCTTCCGTTTCGCTCACATTGTGCTGGACGCTGCCATAGATGAGATCCTGGAGCGGCTCCTCGTGCGATGTCAGCTTAAAGCGTATGCAGTAGGGAGTTCCTTTGTCCAGATGTTGCTGCAGCTGCTCCGGCGTTAGGTGGCGGCACTTGTTGTCGTAACGCGGCACCTGGCGGGTTCGCAGCGCGTCCTTACGTAACAAATCCAAGCGACGCTCCGTGCAAAAGCAGCGATACGCACTGCCATTCTCTAGTAGGCGCTCCACAGCTTGGCTAGAAACATAAATGAAGCTGTTAATTGATGGATATGATAAACATATATTCAAATAGCATTTCACCTGTACAGCTCCCTGCGCTGGCTTTGAATGTAAGGTCCATGTGCTCCTCCGAATCCCGGTCCCTCGTCTATTTCAATGCCTGCCCACAGCAAATCTTCAATCAGCCGCTCCGTGGCGCCCGGCACCAGCCGCGTTTGATCTGTATCCTCGATGCGGAGCAGGAATTTGCCGCCGGAATGCCGAGCAAATAAATAATTGTATAGTGCAGTTCGTAGACCACCTAAATGCAGATACCCCGTGGGGCTTGGAGCAAAGCGTACGCGCACCTCGCTGTGACTGAGTCTGTGTGTGGTGCGGAGGCACTGCCTAAGAGTCCTCACACTTCGTAAACTAAACATTTTCAGTTAGAATAAACTAAAGCAAACAGTGCAGCAATTGTTTGTTTATATTTAAAGCGGCTCATCAGCTGATCGAGCTGCCAGATGTTTGTGCAGAAATAGAGATGACAGCGTGTCGGGAATTCACGACTGACTCCAACCAGGCCTGGGCGACTGAAGAAATGCTGCAGCTGCTTCCCTTTATATAGGAAGACTTTCACTCTCATACTAAGTCGCACTCAAATGTTGAGAGCGGCACCAGGTAGTGATCGTTGTAGTCTGAGAGACAGAAAGCGAGACTCAGAGAGTCAGATATACACACAGCCACACGAACAGATACACACATAGATGCCACCAATACTCATTTCCAATGGATCTAGCTTGAAAAAGGCTATACTCGCAACACTGAATATGAGTTGCCTAGTTGAACAGCTGACAGCGTTGCCACATCGTAAGCACTGACCACGCATGCATTTCTCTTCTTCTTTTCCGCAGCTATTTCGCAAAGTGTGCAGCAAAACGCTAATAAATTAGTTTAAAATGGTTGGAACAACACTCAGTGCGGATGAGAAGAAAAAGCTTATTACGCGCAACCTGCAAGAGACGCTCGGCGATGACAAGCTAACAAAAATACTGCAGGAGCGGGATTTGAAGATCTACTGGGGCACTGCGACGACGGGAAAGCCACATGTCGCCTATTTTGTGCCCATGTCCAAGATTGCGGATTTCTTGAAAGCCGGTTGTGAGGTGACAATACTGTTTGCTGATCTGCACGCCTATTTGGACAACATGAAGGCGCCATGGCCGCTGCTCGAGCTGCGCACCAAATACTACGAGCAGGTGATCAAGGCGATGTTGCGTTCCATTGATGTTCCATTGGATAAGCTGAAGTTTGTAAAGGGCAGCGACTACCAGCTGTCCAAGGAGTACACGCTGGATGTGTACAAGCTGAGCTCTCTGGTCACCATTCACGATGCTAAGAAAGCCGGCGCTGAGGTTGTCAAACAGGTGGAATTCCCACTGCTCTCCTGCTTGTTGTATCCCGGTCTGCAAGGCTTGGATGAGGAGTACTTAAAAGTGGATGCACAGTTCGGTGGTGTGGATCAGCGCAAGATATTCACATTCTCCGAGAAGTATTTGCCACAGCTTGGCTACGAGAAGCGTATACACTTTATGAATCCCATGGGTGAGTCAGGATGATGATTCATCAGTAGAGAATTTCGTATCTAATTCAATTCTGCTTTGCAGTGCCTGGCCTGGCTGGTGGCAAGATGTCTTCCTCCGAGGAGGACTCGAAGATAGATCTCCTCGACTCGCCGGCTAATGTGAAGAAGAAGTTGAAGAAGGCCTTCTGCGAGCCGGGCAACATTGCAGACAATGGACTGCTCTCCTTTGTCAAGCACGTACTCTTCTCGCTCTTCAAGGAAGGCGAAGGCTTTGAGATCAATCGAGCTGCAGACAATGGCGGCGATATTACCTTCTACCAGTACTCGGAGCTGGAGCAATACTATGCAGACAATAAGTTGCATCCGGGCGATCTGAAGGCCTCCGTGGAGAAGTATATAAATCGATTACTGGATCCCATACGCAAGACCTTTCAGGAGCCCGAACTGAAGTGAGCGATTCTATAGACATTATCCGGATATAGTTTTATATTTGTATTTGCTCTTTGTAGAAAGCTAACAGCTGCTGCCTATCCGCCACCCGCCAAGGTGAAAGGTAATGCTGCGCCCGCTGCTGCAGGCGCTGAGGAGGATGGCCCACATCGTCTGGACATTCGAGTAGGCAAAGTCATCGAGGTGGCTCGGCATCCAGATGCAGACACACTCTATGTACTCAAAATAGATCTGGCAGAGGCGCAGCCACGCACCATCATTAGCGGCCTGGTCAAGTTTGTGACTGTGGAGGAGCTGGATCAGCGACTGGTTGCAGTCCTCTGCAATCTAAAGCCTTCCAAAATGCGCGGCATTTTGTCTGAGGGCATGGTGCTCTGCACCTCCAAGTAAGCTTAGCTGAACAGCTGAGTAGTAAGCCCTTCTAAACTCCAACTTTTGATTACAGCGCCGATCACACAGTTGTGGAGCCCATTGTGTTGCCAGCAGCAGCTAAGCCCGGCAGTCGACTCTCCTTTGAGGGTTACAGCGGCACACCCTGATGAGCAGTTGAATCCCAAGAAAAAAGTTTGGGAGAAACTCTCTGTCGACTTCAAAACGAATGCCGAAGGCGTTGCTGTTTGGAAGGATAATTTCCTGCTTACAACCGAGGGTGAGCAATTGACCAGCAAATTGGCCAATTGCTCCATTAAGTAAACCAATCACCCAGCTTACCTGAGCCGTGTAATACTGTTAAACACTTAACTAAGCCGACAATTTACACATGAACACTATCGAAATGCATTTTTGAAATTTGCCTTTATTGAGTTTTAAAAAATATATGATGCTTAAATAAAATTTTGGCGAAGAAAATATATTTTCAAACTTGTAATTTGGCGGCAATGCAAGAGCAGCTGATAAAATTTACTCAACGGCAAACGTACTCAACCGTGGCATCGATAACAAAAGAAATTGTTGAAGTATTTTACAACATAAAGCTATTTAATGATGAATAAACAAGTACTATGGCATTGTGAAATAAAGCTACTAATAAAACCCTATCATAATATTGTTTGTAATAATTTATTTTGTTTATTAAATTAATATTTAAATTTCAATTTGAGTATTTTTGAGGCGCCTCACGATGCTGATTGGCTAAACAGCTGTTAGAGCTTTTACAGCCGTGCCAATCTACTCGTTTTGCCTATCGGGGTTATCGATATTGCATGCGTAGTTGTTTTAAAAACTTAGTTCGGCAACAGGTAAATTTTATTTAGGCGAAAATATGCCCGTGGTGGACATCAATGAGCTTGTGCTGCTGCAGAAACAACAGCAACAGGTGCGAAATATATGTATATTGGCGCACGTGGATCATGGCAAGACAACGCTGGCGGATTCCCTCGTGGCAAGCAATGGCATCATTTCACAACGCATGGCCGGTTTGTTGTTGTTGTGTTTGTTGCTCATTGTGTTTCCATTTCATGTGAAATTTTGTATTGCAGGCAAATTGCGTTATATGGACAGTCGTCAGGATGAGCAGGAGCGCGGCATTACGATGAAGAGCAGCAGCATTTCGTTATATTATCAAGACAACAGCAACAAGGACTTTCTGATAAATCTGATAGATTCACCAGGTCATGTGGACTTCTCCAGTGAGGTCTCCACGGCTGTACGTCTATGTGACGGCGCAATAGTCGTTGTGGATGTGGTTGAGGGCGTCGGGCCACAAACGCGCGCCTGTCTCAAACAAATCTACGAGGAGCAGCTGAAGCCAGTTTTGCTGCTCAATAAGTTGGATCGTTTGATCATGGAGAAGCAAATGACGCCGCTGGACGCGTATTTTCATTTGACCCAGGTGCTAGAGCAAGTGAATGCTGTGCTGGGCAGCATCTTCGCCTCCGATGTGCTGGCCAAGGAAGATTTGACGGATAAGGATAACTATGAATCGGCGCTGGAGAATGTGGATGATTCCGAGCTGTATTTCTCGCCAGCTGCCGGCAATGTGGTCTTCTGCTCTGCCTACGATGGCTGGGCCTTTGCTGTATCCGATTTTGCAGTCACCTATGCGAAGCGACTGGAGATTCCACGTGCTGAGCTGGAGCAAAAGCTTTGGGGCGACTTCTACTACAATAGCAAAAAGAAATGTGTTATGGCCGGTGCCCAGGAGAAGGCCAAGAAGCCCATGTTCGTGCAGTTTGTGCTGGAGAACATCTGGAGTCTGTACGACATCATAGCGGTGCGCAAGGACAAGGAGAAGCTGCCGCTGATAGCTGAGAAACTGGGTCTGAAGCTGGCCGCGCGGGATCTGCGTCTGACCGATGCCAAGCTGCAGATCAAAACTGTGCTGGGCCAGTGGCTGCCCATCGATCGGAGCGTGCTCCAAATGGTGGTGCGCCACGTGCCACCGCCGCACTGCATCAGCGAGGAGCGGGCACAGCGCCTGCTCTATCCAGCCAATGTTGAGCTCAGCTCGCTGCCCGCTGAAACGCTGGCACTCAAGGAGAGCTTCAGGAGCTGCAATGCGCAGAGCGAGAATGTCATCGCATTTGTGTCCAAAATGATGCCCGTGGCGGTGGAGCAGCTGCCACAGAATCGGCCCAAGCGTCTGACCGATCAGGAGCTGCAGCAGCGTCGCGATGAAGTGCGTCGGCGCATCGAGGAGCGCAAGCAGCTGAGTGAGCAAGCACAACTGGAGCAGCTCACTGCGGGCGTGGAGCAGTTGAACACGCAGCCAGCTGCTGCAGAGGCAGAGGCAGCAACAGCAGCAGAGGCGGAGCCGGAGCCGGAGCGCAAGGCCTTTGAGTTTATAGCATTTGCGCGAGTCTTTAGCGGCACGCTGCGACGCGGCATGCAGCTGTATAATCTAACGCCCAAGCACGATCCCAGGCAGCCAACGCATCGAGTGCTCGACCAGGCGCCCTATGCCACTCAGGTGACGGTCGGAGATCTGTACATGTTCATGGGCGGCGAGCTGCAGCTGCTGGAGGAGGTGCCGGCGGGCAACATCGTTGGCATTGGTGGCCTGGAGTCGCACATAGTGAAGACAGCCACACTGAGCAGCACGCTGGACTGCACCTCGTTCAGCGAGCTGAGCATCATGGCTACGCCTATACTGCGTGTTGCCATTGAGCCAGTGCAGCCGCAGGACATGCCGAAGCTGGTGAAGGGACTGAAGCTGCTCAACCAAGCGGATGCCTGCGTCCAGGTCTCAGTGGCGCCAACGGGAGAGCACGTGATAACTACCCTGGGTGAGGTGCACGTGGAGAAGTGTGTGCACGACCTGGAGCAGAGCTATGCCAAGATCAAGGTCAATGTGTCCAAGCCCATTGTTTCGTTCAGGGAAACTATTGTGCCCGACGCAACTGTGGACATGGTCAACGAGGCCATAGTGAAGACAGCCGACGACAAGGACATCAGCAAGAAGATAGCCACGCAGCAGACTCTGAACAAGCTGGGCACGCTCAAGGTTATAGCTCTGCCTCTGCCTGCCGCCGTTGTCCAGCTGCTGGAGCAGCATGGCAATGTCTTCAAGGTGAAGTCGGCAGTTCCTAATCCAAATTCAATTGAGCTCTAATCTTGTTTGCCTTTCTAGGAGCTGGCTGCTGCGCCACGTAATGCTTTACTGTCGGAGAAGTTCTCAGCGCTCTTGGCCTCCATTAGGAGTCAACTGGTCACTGCTTTCTCGGAGCTACAGCTACATGGGCTCAGTTCCCTGTCGCCCGCGGAGCTGGTGCAGCGCATCTGGGCGCTGGGTCCACGCAATTGTGGCACAAATATTCTGCTCAATCTTAGCGATTACGAGCAGCCCGACTTCTGGTGCACACAATCCAAAAGCGATACAGACTTGACCGATCCACGCCGAGATTTCAATAGCTCCTTGGTGAATGGCTTCCAATTGACAACGGGCGCGGGTCCGCTCTGTGAGGAGCCCATGCAAGGCGTTTGCTTTGCGGTGCTCGAGTGGTCCGTTCAATCCGAGGGCGAGGATCTAAATGCACGCGGCTTTGGACCCTTCTCGGGTGAGTCTACCCATTCATATACCATACATATATATGAGCTTGGGTTACCATAATTATGTTAAATCTTAACAGGTCAAGTGTTGACCGCTGCCAAGGAAGTTTGTCGGCAGGCTTTTCAGAATCAACCGCAGCGTCTGGTCACGCCCATGTACAGCTGTAATATTGTGGTGGATGCTGAAATGTTGGGTGAGTCATATGCTTTATATATATAATTTAAAAGTTACAAAATTTAAATTTAAATCAACCTACTTAAATTTTTCACATTGAAATGTTATGTTAAATAACATAAACTAGGCCGTCTCCCATCACTGTTAAAATGCACTCAATCGTAGTTTTACATTGAAATGTTATGCTAGCGCTTTTAATGAAAGCTCTTTCGCTCTTGCAATTGAATAGGTGTTAATAACATTGTTCTGTTGTGTTTGCATGTATAATGTGTGCTAATAACATTTCCTTATGGTAGCTGCCATTCATTCGTGCATTTACAATTAACTTGTCTACAGAATTGGGTAATTTTGCCAAAGTTGATATACTTTCTCTGTTATTGGCAATAGTAACTGTTAATTACATTACCAGATTGTGTTATGCCCATAGATTCTTTCATTCCACAAATAAATGCAATTTGTTTGATTTATTTAACTAAAATGTATAAATAATTTATTACATATGCATTTCGTATGCACAGCAGAGCAAAAATTCATTAAAATCGTTTACATTGATAATTTCTTGTTGTTTTAATTTAACTACTAGTAAATGCAGCTTAGGTCTAACATAAATAGGCAACTAAATTTATAAGTATTTTCTTTTTTTGTTTTGTTTATAATTTAAATGATTTGCTTCACTGTTTAATTAAGATATGTTTAAATATGTTAAGTATTTCATTTAAAAAATGGAATTGATGCCATATTTTGGGTTTTCGATATGCAAAACAAATTAATTAAACAATTAGTTCGGGCGTGGGCGTGGACGCATAATTGTTTAATTAATTCGTAATTGTTTTTTGTTTCTCATTTAAATAAATACAAAATACGAGTATTTGTTATAAGTTAAGGAAGGTTTGCTAGGCGATCAGCTTAAGATCGAAAAATGCCATTTCAAATGCTTAAAGTTAAATGCTTAGTGTCTAATTGTAAATACGTTACGTTACGTTACGCGTTACGTTACGTAAAACCGCCTCTCTGTCATGTAGTCGTTGAACCCATCTCTCTCGCTCTTCCGCTCACTATCTATCTCTGGGCACAATCAAGTTGATCGCGATCCTCGTTTAGCTTCAGTCACAGTAGGTTGCAGAGTATTCCGGAAAATTCCAATTAAAAATTGTTTTACTACTTAAGCTTCAGCTTAGGTTTTGCCTTTAGTCCCAGACAATGCTCTGTTGAAACTCGAGCACACGATCCCAGGGAAACTCGGGCTCGTAGTCATCCAGCGCATCGAGCGATCGCTTGACACGGCTCGTCGGCTCCGGCTGTGTCGTCAACTCCGCCGTAGTTGCTTCGCTCTGCTCCGCCTGGAGCGTAGTCCGTCCCTCTGCCTCGTCGCTCGACTGTGTGCTGCTGCTGCCGCTGGGCATTTGATCGCGTTCCTCGGCAGCTTCGATGGGCGGCGCCTCGCCGCGTCGCTCATTGTTGCGTCCGTAATTGCTGCCCGGGAAACCGTTGAGTGAAAATTGATCGGGTCGGAAGTTAGCCGCACTGCTGTGCGTATGCTGTGTGCTCTCAGGTCGATTCAGATACTGATAAGAGCTGCCGCCGCCATTTTGGAAGGTCTGATCCTGTGGCTGATAGTTGGCGCTGATGGCCGAGCTGCCCACCTGTCCGCCGGACAGGCCGCCGTAAATGGGTCTGCCGTAGCTGTCCTTCTGTCCGCCCATTATGTTGCCGCCATTGTTGCTGCTGCTACCGCCTGGACGATAGAAGGGCTTCTGCAGCTGGTAGCGCTTGGGCGGCTGTACACTGGGCTTGCGCACCGAGTAGCCCGGCTTGACGCACATCATGCCAAATACACGTATTCCGGGCACGCTCGCATAGGTCGGCTGATCATGAGCCATGGGTCCCTCTGTGAAGTGTGGTGGAAGGGGATTTGTTAGCAAAGGTTGTGGTGAAAGGATTTGATAAGATGTGGGATGATGTTGCTTAAGGATTAAAGTGAATTTGGATAAAGTTCTAGCTAGGGATATGAGATTTGTGAAGAATGGAAGCCTCAGATAGTGCTAACTATGCATGTCACTATTGGGAAGGATGTAATCCTTACTTACTTCTAGGTAAGGTTGAAACCCTTAGGAAATATTTTAGCCTTAGCTTGGATGTAATACTTGGGAAGAAACAGAAGCTTGTTCCTAGTTATGGCATACCTAGGCTGTAAGCGTTATTATGTTCTACTTAAAGATGTAACACTGAGAGAGGATGGACACCTTAGTTATTTGTAAGTAGGTATGTAAGGAAAACCTTAGTTAACTAATGATGTAATTCTTAAAAAGGACAATCTTAGTGAGCTACGAATGTAACCCTTAGGAATTGAAACCGTAGTTATATACGGAAGTAAGACTTGGAAAGGAAAGTCTTAGTTATCTATTGATGTAAACCTTAGGAAGGAAACTTTGTGAGAACTAAGTCTCTTTGGCATTAGGCTTCTCGATTAGCTCTAGACTAGACTCTTAATTGCTTGTACCAGACGATTCTCAAGGCGTCGTCGGCTTGTTGCTGTTGTTACTCACCCATTTTGAAGTGATCGGGGCAGCGGCATATGACAAGATAGTGCGATTTGCCAGTGCGTGTGTTTTGCAGCGCCAACAGGGACCAATCCTTGGGTGAACGGCATTCGCGCATCTCAGTTGTTGCCTCGCACGTTTTGGCCAGCGTAATTGCCTGTTGAGCGAGAGTGGGAGAAGGGGAGTGAGAGGGACAGGAAGTGTGTGAGAGAGAGAGAGAGAGAGAGAGAAAGGAAGAGAGCGAGAGGAAGAGTTTTGATTAGTGTAATGAATACCGTTTTCAGGCCGTCTAGACATGAGTGCTGCAATTAGACATTCACTTGGCGGCGTCTGTTTTAGATTGGCTGGCCCACAGGGCTAGCCGAAGAAAGTTGCAGTGCAGCCCGCGCGAACCGCTCCCTATTGATATTCACTGATCGTGGCTCAAATTGAAAGTTAACATGCAACCCAAAGGCTGACTGGCTGCCTAGCTGAAAGGCTGCCAGGCTGCCAGGCTGCCTGACTGGCAAAGTGCAAAACTGTATCTCTAGCTGTGTAATCCATCCAAAGCAGCCACCGTTGAGCCCAGGGCGTTGTCTGTGGCGGGGCTGGGACGGCTGGGTGTGCGGCCCATCTGTTGCCTCTGTGCCACATTAGCCATAAAGCTTGTCCAAAATTGCTAAAGCCAATTGCTTTGGCAGTTGATCTCATGCAATGCTTGAGCTCCCATTCAATTGATTGTCCTTTTAACAGATTTTCCGTGTTACAATTGGGCTACTACTGCTGTTGTTGTTATTGTTGTGGCTCGAATGATACTCAATACAAGATGTTGGAGTAATGGGTATATTGGTCTTATCTTAAGCTTACGCCATAGATTAAAATGGGAATGTTTAATTTCTTGAACGTCTAGTATGAGGACCAGATCTAATCTAAAACATCTTTGCTATGCCTTCAGAACTACTTAAGATTCCTTAATATTTAAATATTGCCATGACTCAAGAATTAGAGGAAGAGATGATAACATTTGGAATATAACATTTCCTTATAAAGTATAATTAGATAAGATATATTTCACTTTTTCAACTAACTCCTAACTCCTGTAAGCCCAAACGAGTCCAGGCAACAATTTTAGCATAGCTCGTGAACTATACGAACTAGAGTTATTATTTTTGGAATGTAAGTTCTGGTAATATGAATTTTGATTAAATTTTTAAAATTTTGTTGCTTTTAATATTACTACTTAAGATGGTAAGATAACATTTAGAGCATGCATTTTTATTTACACTGACTTGAAAACTATTAAAGCTACAGATTTGATATTCTTTCTGTGTATTCTTATACATCTCCAATTGTTTCTATATTAATTTTAGGGCTTGGCATATTGAGCATAGCTAGAGAACTATGGCAGCTAGAGCTAACAAATTTGCTATATGATTTTCTGTAATGCCTAGCTAGATGATAGTATAGAGTTTTTCTTGATAACTGCTCCATAGATCTTCACTCAGACCGTATACCAATCTGGTTTCTAGTTCTTTTATATAGAGTATCTTTGAGTCAATCTGTGCTTACTAGATCACTCTTACTAGCTGTTGCTGTTTGCTGTCAATAATTTGATTGACTTGCGGCGCTCTTTGCATGCTGCTGGCTGACTGGCTGGCATTTCCTTTCGCCCGCTCCATTGGCTGCCAATTGGCTGCCATTCAGGTTAATGTGGCCTGCCAGTAACTGGCTGCGAGTTGTGCCAGTTTTTCTAGCTAAGCTTCTGCCTACTCGCAGTCCGTTGTCCGTTGTCCGCTGTCCGCTGTCCGCAGTCCGCAGTCCGTTGTCAGCTTTTTAAACGCATTTTCATAATTTTGCTAGTGGTACAGTTCCGGCAAGACATGCAGCACAGCAAGTGTGGCATTTAACGGTACTCGGCCGCACACAATTAGCCGCAGTCCACATTGACGATCCCGCTCATTAAACTATTAAAAACTTTTTATTATTATCACATTTATGGCAAATTTATTGTGGCAGCTCGCAGCATTTATAACTCAATTATGCACCGCTGCACCACTAATTGCACCACACACACACACACACTCACAGCGGGTGGCTGGTGCTTGTGGGAAACTGGGAACTTGTTAGCCCAATGGCAGATCCTTCCAGGAAATCTTGAAACAAGCATCTATAAAAGCAGTTCCAGTCGTGCCCAGCCACATGATCTATCATTGATACCAATTACTTATACGAATTGCCATGCACTGAGCAAAATAATCGCTGATCGCTGACGATATGAGAGCCTAGTAATTATGCCAGAGTTAGCCCATTCCGAAAGGGCAAACGGATAAATCAACTCTGACTCTGAGAACTTAAAAAGCCATAAAAATTAGCTACGTATTTTGATGGGGAGATAAATCAGAGCTGAGATCATTAAGAAAATGAATCCGATTTACCAAATTGCTAGGGATGGGATCTGAATTTGCAAAATGAGTTTCTGATTTCCTTTTTGCTCGATTTC